CCGGCAACGTGGCGGCGTTCGTGCGCGAGGTGTTCGGCAAGGACTCCGGCGACGCCGGCGCCAAGGCCGCGGCCGGCGCCTGGCTGAAGATGGTCGACGGCATGCGCGAGCGCTTCAACCGCGCCGGCGGCGACGTCCGAAAGCTGATGTATGGCTATCTGCCGCAGCCGCACAACGTGCAGGCGCTGGTCAAGGCAGGCATTGACCGCTGGGTGAACGACACGCGCCAGCTCGTCGACCGCAGCCGCTATACCGACGAGGCCGGCCGCGTGCTGAACGACGTCGAGCTCGCCGCCGTGCTCGAGCAAGCCTGGCGCGACATCACGACCGACGGCCTGGCGAACCGCCCGCTGGGCGAGTACCGCGCCCCGGGCATGCTGGCCAACGCGAACAGTCAGGCGCGCGTGCTGCACTTCAAGGACGGCGACGGGTATCTGCACTACATGCAGGCCTACGGCGAGGGCACCGTGTACGACGCCATGCAGGGGCACGTGCGCTCGATGGCCCGGAACATTGCCCTGGTCGAGGAATTCGGCCCGAACCCCAGCGCCACGTTTCGCACGCTCCACGATGCAGCCCAGCTCGGCGGCGGGAAAGACCGCGTCGCACTGCTGGCGACGACCCAACAGATGTGGGACACGATGCTCGGCAAGTTCAACGCCGTGCACAACCCGACGGCGGCGCGCATCGGCCAGGCCCTGCGGTCGCTGCAGGTGGCCGGCAAGCTCGGCGCCGCGGTGCTGGGCTCGATCAGCGACATCCACTGGCTGATGCAGACGATGGCCTTTCACAAGCTGCCGTGGTGGCAGGGGCCTATGCGCGTCGTGCAGGCGTTCGGGTCCGAGACGCGGGCCTATGCCGACCGCGCCGGCCTGATGGCCGACAGCCTGATCGCGGACATGGGCCGCTGGGGCGAGTCCAACCTCGGCCGCGACTGGCCCGACATGGCGGCGAACGCGACGATGAAGGCGTCAATGCTCACCGCCTGGACCGACGGCGTGCGGCGCGCGTTCTCGATTTCGATGATGGGCGGCATGGCGAAGATTTCCCGCACCGCCTGGGACGCGCTCAAAACCGCCGACCGTTCGCGCCTGGCGGGCCTCGGCTGGACGCCCGAGGAATGGGCCGCCCTGCAGCGTGTGCCGCTGGAGCGCTGGCGGCAGACCGACATGCTGACGCCGGCCGCCATCCTCCAGGCCGACGGCATCGAGCCGGCCATGCGCGACCGCCTCGTGTCGCGGCTGCTCGGCACCATCGACGACGAATCGAAGTTCGCAAGCCCAGACCCGAATCTGAAGGTGCGCACGCTGCAGGCCGGCGGTCACGAGAAAGGCACGGGCCTGGGCGAGCTGCACCGGTCGGTCATGCTGTTCAAGGGCTTCAGCCTGTCGATCCTGCTGAGGCACTGGGATCGCGTGCTGAACGCTGACCTGACGCCGGCGCAGCGTATCACCTACGCGACGTCCAACCTTCTGGCCGCGACGCTGCTCGGCGGCATCTCGCTGCAGCTCGCCGACCTGGCCAACGGGCGCGACCCGCGCGACATGACGGGTGACCAGGGCGACAGCCCAGAAAAGCTCGCGCGCTTCTGGGGTGCTGCGCTGACAAAGGGCGGCGGCCTGGGGTTCCTCGGTGACATGCTGCTGACCGGCATGGGGTCTCACGGCCAGTCGGGCGCCTCGGCAGCCGTCGGAGGCGTCGCCGGCCCGCTCGTGGGCAGTGCGTTTGAACTCGTGTACGACGTCGGTCTGAACAACGCGCTGGAGGCCGCGCAGGGCAAGGACTCGCACGCCGCCGCCGAGGCTTTCCGCTGGGTCCGTGGGCAAACCCCGGGCGTGAACCTCTGGTATCTCAAGCTCGCCATTGACCAGGCGTTCGCCAACCAGGCGCAGGAATTCCTGTCGCCCGGCTACCTGGCCAAGACTCAGGCCCGGATGCAACGGAACTACGGCAGCACGTGGTGGTACGCGCCCGAGGACCGCGGCCTGCTCACCGGCGACATGGCCGCTCCCGAGCGGGCGCCGAGCTTCGCCAGCGTGGCGGGAGGTCAGCCATGATGCCCAACCAGATCCGCGCGCTCGCAAAGGTGCGCCGCTGCCTGGACTTCGCGGCGGACACCCGCGGGAACGTCACCGAACGCGAGACGGCCTTCCGCCAGGCGCAGGCGCTCATTCAAAAGCACGGCCTGCAGCTGGATCGCTTCGAGGCCGCGGCACCCGCTGAGCCGGCCGGGCCTCCGCCGCTGCACTTGCCTGAGTGGGCGGCGTATTGGGCCACGCGCACGACCGCTGAGGCTCTCGCCGCCGGCATCCGAACCCCGGTGCTGTGCCGGGATGGCTGGCTTGTTTTCTGACCCCGAAAGGATTGATATGGCTCTCGTCAGCATTGGATTCCCCCGCAATGTGCACATTCAGCCGACATACCGGCCGCAGTTTTGCCCCGAACGGGCAAAGGCCATGGGAGCGCCTGAAGCTGGTACTGATGCGTGGCGCGCGTACTGGCTCACCCGCACGGTGGCGGAATGCGCGGCCGTCGGAGCTCCTGCGCCCACGCAATGCGCGGATGGCTGGTACGTGCCTGGATGACTGACATGGCCGAAACCCGCGTCGATGCTGAAGACATCGACGACCCTACCCCCCCGCCGAGCGGGCGCCGCATCAGGCTGGAAACGGTCGATCAGGTGCGCGTCGAGATGGCGCGTGTGTATCGCGAGGTGCGGGCCAGCAAGCTCGCGCCGGACGTGGCCAGCAAGTTGTTCTACATGCTCGGCGTGCTGGCCAAGACGACCGAGGTAGTCACCGTCGAGCACCGCCTGCGCCGGATCGAAGAAATGCTGAAGGGAGCGCCGCATGGTCTTGAACCTCCGAAGTAGCCGCCTCGCCAAGGTCGAGGAACACCTGCAGCGCGTGGGCGCGATCAAGAGCCCGGCGGACGTCGCGAACGAGCGCGAGAAGCTGGTGCTGATCGTCAAGGGGGCCCGCCAGATGCTCGCGATGGCCGAGCGCGACGCGGCACTGCCCTACAGCGAGCGCGGCAGGAGCATCGGCCCGGAGTCGA